TTTCGCCCTTTTCCTTGCGAAAATCCAGGACACCAATCCTCATGAGCCAGTGAACTGACCATGTGATAGACCCGCTGCCTTTCGGGTGTATATTTACTCGAAGGCTTTGGCTGATGACCCGTGTCTTTCTCATGTCAGGTGTGGGCGCCCTGCCAGTATCCTAGTCCATTCTCTTCGGAGGTTATGACGTGGTCGATGGCCCTGTTCTGGTAAAACCTAGCCATAGGGGACAACATGGCTACGGGTTATAAGCTCACAGCTAGTTCGGCGTAGAGCACGAGCGCCGCGCACTGTCTCTGACGGTAGGAGGTCACATCCGGGTGTTTAATGGTTTGCTACTGCCCGCCTCAAGCCAGGCAGCCCCTAGTCAAATTGGTGAAACCCGCGTCTGGCTGTGGTCGCAGTTGCGTATCCTTCTACGGTCGCATAGCATATAGGAATCGTTCCAGTACCTCGAAGACTGCGTGTGACGGCCGTCAAGCAGATTCCAATCTGTCTCTGCAAACACTTCCCGAGCTGGCTTCGCTACCCACTGCCTTGTGGGTCAGGCTATTGAGCCAAAGGTTCCGGGTGGAGTCCCTCAAGCAAATCCCCGAAATCCAACGACTACCTCGCTTGCGATTGCCAACCAATGCAATCGTATGCCTGCGCATAAAGCACTCAACATCGGTTGCTCGAACGCGGGCACAATACTGGACCGGAACTCCAGTGAGCGTCCCGAGCGACGCACTGCACTCGTAGCGATTGAATTGGCGCACTACCACATTGATATTGCGGCCCTCAATGAAACCGGGCTCGCTGAGCAAGGTAAGTTGCATGAAGCAAATGCTGGCTACACATTCTACTGGCTGAGCAACACCGTCTCAGCACTACGTGATCATGGGTTCGGTTTTGTAATATCCGATCGCCTCCATGGCCAGCTGGTGGGTGAACAAATACGCATCAGCGCGCGACTGATGACGGTTCGCCTACGACTCGGAAGAAGTTAGTTTCCCATATTTGTAAACACGTACGGTCTGACCATGTGTTATCCTGATGACACGCGTGATCAATTCTACATTCGATTATCCTCCGTGATACAGTGTGTGCCGAGGAGCGACCGACTACTTCTGCTGGGTGACTTCAGCGCACGCGTTGGGCGTGTTGCATTGGTGTGGACAGCTGTCATCGGTTCTCATGACATCCGTACAGCGCATGCGAACAGGAACGGGTTGCTCTCACATTGTGCTACTCACGGCCTGACGATCACGAACACTCGGGTTGCACTGAGTGCGAGTGATATAGCAACTTGGACGCACTCGCTGAGTTGTCACGATCACTTGCTCGAATATGTCATCGTACGTCAGCGTGATATGCGTGAAGTGCGCATGACACGTGTACTGCGTGGAGCGCTAATCACAAATAGGTGCGCACCAAACTGTACATATATTTTCCTAAATCTATCTATTGCACTCCTGCCGTGGATCGGCGTAAATTTAACATTCTCTCCCTCGGTACTGGGGCGAAAAGTATTGAACTGGAGAAAGCGATGGGTGCACACATTAGTGATGTGGACCGCAGGGCCACAGTAGGCAACCTGTGGCATCACATTCGCGACCGGTTGACAGCTGCTGCCGAGGAGACCATCGGGCGCGCAAACTCTAAGCGGTCTGGTTGGTCTGATGACAACAATGTGACGATTGGCACATTAGTATGTGAGCAGAATGCAGAATTTTCTGCACACGTGGCAGATCCCAGTGATTTGGGGAAGAATAGTCAGTTTCACAAACTTCGACGGCGACTGACCCGAAGGCTCCGTTGTATTAATATGCATAGTGGACGGATAAGGAGAAGCAGATGGAGTGATGTACAGAACGCCGCCAAGCCAAGGAATTATTTGACTCCTTGAAGGCGGTGTATGGACCGAAATTGAAGCCGCTGAGGACGCTGATCGATGGTAACTCAGACGCTACCTGCACACAGACTGCAGACATAATGCAGATCTGGCGGAAACACTTCGACTGTCTCTTGAACAACAGTTCAGAGATTGACTGACCTACATTGAACGGTCTCAAGCAGAACGATGTGAAGGCGTGTCTGGCGGGCACGACAATATTGGGTGGGACCCTGAGGGCACTTGCTCAGCTGCGAAACGGCAAGTGTGCTGGGACTGACGGGATCTCGCCAGAAGAATTGAAACACGGCGGACCCGCGTTGTTGACTGCGCTGCGCCACTTGATGCAATGCGCATGGATTAAGGAGGGGGTGCCTACTGAGCTGAAGGATGCTCTTGTGATACCACTGTACAAGGGCAAAGGGAGCAAGCAGTGTTGTGCGAATGCTCGTAGCATCAACATGCTGAGTTGTGTGGGAAAGATGATTGCCCGAATCCTGCTCAACCGCCTCGTCAGTCAGGTTGTGGAACCTACCGTGGCGGAAGAGCAGTGTGGATTCCTCTCTGGTCTCAGCACTATGGATGTTGTGTTTGCGACTCGTCAGTTGCAGAAGAAGTGCAGATAATGACCTCTGCCATTGTACTCGCTTGTTGTTGATTTCACCAAAGCTTTTGATATTGTGAACCGCGAGCAATTGTGGCTGATGTTGGGTAAGTTTGGTTGCCCGCGTAATATTGTAAGTTTAGTTGAATGTCTGCACAGTGTTCTCCTGGCGAGGGTGCAGCTGAGTGGATGGGCCTCGAAGGACTTTGCAGTTGTCGCTGGTGTGAAGCAAGGCTTTGTCTTAGCTCCTGCCTGTTACACTCAGCCGAAATCAGAACAACAGTCTTGCAAATTTAAGTTTAGTAGAAGCAATGGCAATAGTTCATCGGCAGTCCACACTGTGTACAGATTAACTGTTTAGTTTCACGCAGTCCACATGTTTTAGCTAAGCACTCCCTTTTGAACCAAGTAATAAGCATCGCTGTTTAGTCGGGAGATGGACACTCACGCACTAGCGCGCACAATGCAGCTGCACATGCTATGTAGTGTAGCATGACCTTGCCGCGCACAAAGTCTGTATCACTTTTCCCCCCTTTATTTAGGGCTATCCCGATTGGATACGGTCGACCGGTCGGCGTCGGTGCTCAGAGCTCCGCAATTGTTACTCAGCTACCGGCTCGGCGTCACGCACGTGCATGTCGTCCGAGGCTTGAGCTAGCTGCTCTGTCTCGGCAACTGTTTCTGTGTCGGACAATCTCGGTCGCACAGAATCTAAATGGCGTCGAACGATCCTGCCATCCTCAGTCTCTGCTTCTATTATCCTTCCGTTAGTTTTTTTTAAAGACGGCTCGCTCCCATTCCAAACCTGCAGGTACGCGGATGTAGATAGCATCTGAATCTGTCACATGCTTGTCTCTGCTACAAGTATCAAAACGCTCCTTCACTCGTTGTTGTTTTACCGAAACTTGTGGCTCAATAGATCCATGCAATAAATCCAATCATGTACGCAGTCGACGACCAAACATTAACTCTGCGGGGCTTCTGCCTGTGGTCTCGTTTGGCATGTTTCGATATGCGAACAAGGAACGATCCAAACGCACACGCAGTAGAGCATTTGGTTGTTTTATTAGCAGCCTCTTCACTGTTTGTACGGCTCTCTCCGCCATCCCATTAAAAGAAGGATGATAGGGTGAAGTTGTTATGTGCTTAATGCCGTTTGAGTTGAGGAAGGTAGAAAACTCAACATTGGCGAATGCTGGTCCATTGTCAGATACTAATGTCTCGGGAAGTCCAAATGTTTTGAACGTTGTGCGTAGTTTCTCTATAGTACCAGCTGAATTTGCTGAAACAAGAATATGGGCATCAATCCATTTAGAATGGGCATCGATGATTAGCAAAATCATCCGACCTTCGTAGGGACCGAAATAGTCTACGTGGACTCATTTCCAGGGTGTTTCTGGCCACTTCCAAGGCTGCATTGGCGTATGAGGAGCGGCGTTTCGGGTCTCCTGGCAAGGTCTGCAACTTCCAACCTTCGCTACAATATCACGGTCTAATTCAGGCCACCACACATAAAATCGAGCTAACGACTTCGACTGCAACACCTGGATGCGCAGCATGTAATTCGTCAAGGATACTTGACCGAAATTTCTTGGGGACAATAACTCGTGCGCCCCACAGCAAGCATCCATTCTAGAGGCTGAGTTCAGACATCCTGTTACCGAAGGGCATGAGTTATTTGGGGGTGTTGTCCGTCCACCCAACTTGAACATAGCGTTTGACCAACGATAGAACAGAGTCTCTGTCAGTTTCCTGACGTATGTCTGTACATGTGACTGGGGAATCAGTGAAATGCCAGACCAGGTTTACGAGCTCTTGTGGGATAGATTCTTTCGATGGTGTCTCTGTTAAGGGAAGCCGGCTAAGAACATCAGCGGTGGTATTCTGTTTGCCTGGAACTTACTGAATTTCGTATGTATACGCAGCAAGAATAAGCGACCAACGTACCATTACATGTGAAGTCATTTTTTGAATACCTTTGTCATGGCCGAGGAGGAAAACAAGAGGTTGATGATCTGTATGGATCACGAAAGGTCGCCCGAGTAAATATTGTTGAAATCGGGTGGTGCCGAAGATGACAGCGGCTGCCTCTCGATCAAGTTGAGAGTAGTTCCGTTCTGCTGGTGTCAGGGTTCTTGAAGCATAAGCAATGAGCCGTTGAGCGCCATTCGGTAATTTGTGCATTGAAACAGCTCCGAGACCGTAAGGTAAGGCATCACAAGAAAGAACAACCGAATTCTGCGGATCAAAAGGCACAAGAACACCTGTAGATGTTAAGAGCTTCTTGACCGCTTTGAATGCATTTTCATGAGTATTGTTCCAATTCCAGCTTTGGTTTTTACGTAGCAGCTGGTGAAGCGGATGCAGATGACTTGCAGCCGATGGTATAAACCTGGAAAACTGAGTGACGACACCGAGGAACGACCGCAATTCATGAACATTTTTGGTTGCTGACGCCTCAAGTACCGCCTTTGTCTTTTCTTCCAGTGGGCACAATCCTTCACGTGACAACCGATAGCCAAGCTACTGTACACTCGGAACAAGGAACTCACACTTTTCTCTTTTTAGAACCAAACCGGCATCCGATAATCGCTTCAGGACGACGTCCAATGTATGTAAGTGCTCGGCGGTAGTTCGTCCAGTAATTAAAATGTCATCTAAGTACACACATGTGTTTGGTATATCTTTCACGAGTGAGTCAAAAATACGTTGAAAAATAGATGGAGCCGAGCTTATTTCAAAACGCATGCGTATATAGCGGAATAATCCGTGATGAGTATTAATGGTGGTGTACCTGCGTGATTCCTCATCGAGTTCAATTTGTTGGTAAGCATGACTCAGATCTAGTTTTGTAAATGGATCACCACAGGAAAGGGAAGCGTAAATGTCTTCAATCTTTGGTAGCGGATATCGGTCTAATTCTAACGCTTGGTTTATCAAAACCTTGTAATCCCCGCAGATACTTATAGTATCATCGTTCTCCAATACTGGCAAAGTGGGGGCTGCCCAGTCTGAATACTGGAAGGGTTCAACGGTACCTTCCAACTGGAGTCGGCGCAGTTCACTTTCGACCTCATCACGGAGGGCATAGGGAACAGTGCGAGCTTTCCAGAACCGCGGTTTTGTCTGTGGTTTAAATACCAGATGTGCACTGCAATTCCTTAAAAGTCCTGATCTCGACTGGTCAAATAAGACTGCATACTCCTGAAAAATCTCGGATAACTGCGGATTGTCTTTCACCAGGTTGACGTTCGACATTATGTCAGGAAGGCGCTTAATTCCATCGCGGCCCAGGATGTTCGGACCCGGTCCTCCAGAAACGTACGCACACATATGACTCGTTGAGTTCCGGTAAGAAATGCGTGCATTGAAGGTACCAAGCACATTCACCACCTGTCCCGTGTAATGTCGCAACTGTATGTTCGGTGGACACAACTTTGTAAGTTGGGATAAGGCGTCTGTTCGGATCAAAGTGACTGCGGAACCGGTATCAATTTCAAACTCTACCGGTTGTTCGTTTAATTGGACGGATACGACAAACGGTTTTTCTGCTGTAATGGTGCGATTAAAAACGGTTGTGGTGTTAATCCAATTCCGGTGCAATTCATCAGTAATGCAGTTTGTAACCTTAGATTGTTCCTGGACGAGTGATTTCTGCTTGGAAAGACACTTTCTGAATATGACAATTTTCCACAAAATCTGCATAATGAAGGAATGTGCGGACAGTCAGTCGGGGATAAGTGATTCTCCCCGCAACAGTAACAACGGAATTCCTTGCGCTGTACGGGGCGAGGTAAGGCATGTCCACGGTTAGTCTGGTAGACCTTGTTTACGTTATGTGAGATTGATTGATTTGAAGAGGGAAATGTGACTAGTTCCTGGACGAGGTTGGCACGCTGTCGGACTAAATCACATGCTTTCTCCCATGTCAGTAGCGTTTCATCTCCGGAGAGCAGACGTTCTCGTGTCTTCTCATCAAAAACACCCACGATTAATGCCTGTAACAGCATCGCTTCTTCGAACTGCGCTGGCAGGATCTGATCATAGGCGCAGTCAGGGAGAGCAGTAAGGAGACGAGAGATAAACTCATTTACAGTATCATTTGATTGTTGTCGCGTGGCGCTGAATTTATGCCGAGCAGTAAACACATGGGGCTTTTCCCCTCATATTCGGTCCAGGGGATAGAACACAGTTTTTAGGTCTCGCTTCGTATGTAATTGTAAACTGTCGAAATGTTGCTGGCCTTTGATGCCGAGATGGTGGCGTAGTAATTTACTTTTCGCTGCAACATCAATCGTGCAATTTCCAACAAGGAGCAAAAGCAAATCAACGTCGTCAGTAAATGTAGTTTTCCACTGCAACCATTGTTGCGCAGTAGGCCTTTCAGTAGAAGAATTTCAAAAGGGTTGGGTGCCGTTATTGAATTTGCCATGAGCAACCAGAATAACCTCTGTCGCCAAATTGTTACTTTCAACCGAAATCAGAACAGCAGTATTGCAAATGGAAGTTTAGTAGAAGCAATAGCAACAGTTCATCGGCAGTCCACACTGTGTACAGATTAACTGTTTAGTTTCACGCAGTCCACATGTTTTAGCTAAGCACTCCCTTTTGAACCAAGTAATAAGCATCGCTGTTTAGTCGGGAGATGGACACTCACGCACTAGCGCGCACAATGCAGCTGCACATGCTATGTAGTGTAGCATGACCTTGCCGCGCACAACGTCTGTATCACAGCCCTGTTTAATATATATATTCATGCAAGGCTTGTGCTTACGGTGTTCGTTTGGAGCACCGTATTGATGGTGGGTTGTTGAACATCAGTCGTTTCGGTACGAGAACTCTAGTCTGTGATGCAACTGTCCGTATGTTACTGTTCGCTGAGGACCGTGCGTCGTTTGCACACAGCGCGGATGATTTGCAACACATGACTAGTGCTCTAGCTTTTACAGCGGCCAAATTCGCGCTCACCAACAACAAAAGCAAAACGGTCGAATTGCCTCTCCTAGTTTCAAATGCTATAGATTTAGCGTCTAGTGAGAGGACGTCATCACCTTGCAGGCTAAACACTGTCAGTGACAGTGGTAGATAGGTGGTGCTATATCCCAGCTAGTTTGCAAATTATGTAGCCCAGCCAACGTCCCCCATGGCTCAGTGGCTTAAGCTGCTGGCTAGTTGGCATCTGCCTCTAGCGGTCATGGGTTCGATCCTCATTAGAGGACCGAGGGAATGCGCGCCACTGACGAGCCCCAATAGGGCGAAACGCGTCTCGCGCTTTTCCGGACTAGGCTCCGTTATGTAGCTTGTGAACTGTTGGGATGAAAGTCTTATCAAATTTACAACTAAAATCCTGCTACTAAGGAGTACTACAAAACTGTCTGCCACTTTCAGCCTTCACCGGAGGTGCAACCTTCAATCTTGCCGCGAACCAGCCTTGGTGGTGAAGTATTGGACACCACCTCCGCTTCTGCTACCTTGGGGGTGTAATGTCGACTGATCAGCAGCTGCACAGAGAGTTGCGTATCCGCGTGTCGAAGGCAGCGGTGGCCTTCGGAAAGCTAGAGTACCGAGTGTGAAACAAGCTTCAGCTTTCCATTGGCACGAAATTGATGGTGTACAAATCCATGGTGCTGTCCGTTCTTCTATAAGGCAGTGAAACATGGACGATCTACCAGCGGTATGTGCGATATCTCGAGGGGTTCCATCAGCAGTGTTTGCGACGAATTTTGCGCATCGGTTGGAGCGACAGAGTTGCGGACACGGAAGTGTGGCGTCGAAGTGGAATGTATGCAGTGGACTTCATACTTTTACTGAGACAACTGCGGTGGCTCGGTCATGTGAGCCATATGGATTCAACGAGTATACCGAAATAACTCATCCGGTCAGTTGAGTATTGGGAAGCGGCATGTGTGGAAGTCAAAGTTACATTTTCAGGAGATGATCAATATGAGCCTCTCACGTTCTAATCTTGATTTCTGGTCATGGGAATCGAAGGTGGTTGATGAGCGTGCATGGCGCGATCTAATCAGGAGGGTAGTTGCCGAAGTGCGGGAGAAAGACCTCATACATGCAGAGAAGAAGCAGCAAGTGTGGAAACGTCAAGCACCGATGGGTTGTACTCCATCGACATGGAGCGCTTGGTTCTGTAGCACATGCGGTCTCGAGTGCCTGAGTCAGACAGGCCTAGTAAGCCATGAGCGAGGCCACTGAGGACCACTACCGAACCGACGACGGGTCCTGCAGAGAACGTAGGCAGAACCAGCCCAGCGTTTGTAGGTACACCGCATTCGATTTACTAACCGCGTGGTTGCATACTAAGTCCATTTATTTCAGGTGGTGGGTGTTCCATTTTGTCCTAATGCTTTTATTTTCATATAAATTCCTACCTATCTTCTATATACTTGCACAGGTCGCGTAAGCTAATTGTAGTTAATTTCGATAACATTTTCGTGTTTGTGGCATTTCCGTAAAATATACTTTCCGACATCTTGAACTGACCTCGGATTCGTTCGTAGACTACCTTAAAAGTTGCAGCATGGATTCGCACCACTCAGTACGATTGGTGGGTAAACAAACACAACAACAATGGCGGACAACCCCTCATTGCCCAGTAATGACCTATTTTCCAGGAGGAAATAGACACAAACCTTATACTTGCTTCTGTCCAAACACCATCAGTGCTATCCAGCATCAAATTCATAGAAAAAATGTTTCTGAGGGATCTACTATTTTTGCATACACAGCCTTCATGGAGTGGATAACTTTCACCCTGAAGCCCTGCTGGCAGCGGCCATTCACCTAGCCCAGCCATTTGCCGGATGCTTCAAAGAAGTCCGCCTGATCCTACCAATTACCGTTCGGTAACACTTATCTCTGCCCTTTCCAAAGTCATGGAGGCGACCATCACTGACGTAATGCTGGGCTACTTGGAAAATGTAGTCAATGCATTATTAGGATGGGTTAGTAATTTTCTCCGTGAACAGCAGTTCTATGTAAGAGACCGAACATCCCTGCCCGACTCTAATCGAGTGGAGTGCGACCATCTTGCGAGAGCCATCACCTCAAAAATTTTACTTTTCCGGATGAGTTTAAAAGTTGACCGGGGATCAAGAGAATGGACGACCACGCCATGCTCTATGTGCGACCTAGATGGGACCTGGCATTGACCGGTGAGGAATTCACTGCCGTTAAAAGTGGTCAAGTGACACATTATCCACATCCGCCATAGACACGCCTACCTCTAGAATATTGTGGCATATGACCTGAAGATAAGCTCTCAAAGACTTGACCTCGATGTGCTGGTGCAGGACGACTTGGGTTATTCCAGACAGTCGGAATCCAAAAGTGGGAACCAGCGCGTTGTTAACTTGCCGATGGCATTCGAAAGTTTGGATTCATTCATCTTCTCTATGATGCTCCATGCCTACGTGCGTTAACACGTCGAATACGTAATCCAGGCTTGGCACGCTTGGCTAAACCGTGACCTTGCAGCGCTTGAAGCGCACCGTGGTCGAGCAGCGACTAAAAACACTCTGAGTGTTCAGTAGACGCTACAGGTGGCTACGTGGAGACCTCATATTGGTTTACCAGATGCGGGACGACCCCACATACACAAATGATCACTCCCACTTATGGGGCCGTGTACCGTCTGTCGGTAAATATACAATTTTATTTTATTTTATTTTTATGTTGCCACCTACCGCAACTCATCCTGAACACCAATTTCACAGGCAATAGCCTGAAACTGAGTCAACAACACAGTCGGCTTTTCATTAAGGCTGGACGAACCTCAGCTCATAGCGACTCAGTGAGTCCGCCATAAGTAGCCATCGTAAGTTTCGGTGCCTACGCTGTTTATGTGCTCAACGACATCCTGGACGTTAAGAATTTTATCCGACCGGACGCATCATTAGCACCATTTGTCAACGGACCAGTTTAGTAGTGAACACATTTGTGAAAGAGGATAAGTATATTAACGGAAATGTATTGGAACGATCATCTATGCTAGTGAAGGATATGTTCAAAATGTCCGCCGGCATTCCGCTTACAGTGCAGAAACCGCTTGATGCAATTGGCCAGCACTTTCGCCAACGTATCCCACGTGATCGCTCGACGTTCGTTCACAATATTTTCTTTCAACTGGTCCAATGTACGCGGCTTTGTTTTGTACACTGGCCGCTTCAAATAGCCCAATAGCAAAAAGTCTATGGGATTCAAATCTGGTGAGCGAGCAGGCCACTCCATTGGTCCACCGCGTCCGATCCAATAGTGGCCAAATTTGTCGGTGAGGTAAGCACGCCAAAAGCACGCAAAAAGTATTCACTATGTTATTGTTCATTTTTACTTCTACTATAAAAAATGTATTCCCTGAGGTGGACATTTCAGAAGTTATTAGAAATATTTTGGTTTGTTGCCTTTTTCGCTGTATTAAGCACAAATGTCGGCACATGAAAAATGTCTTCTTTAACTTCAGCATCCTGGAAATATAATTCGTGTGCACTGCTTTTGAAAGATATGCTGGTGTCTTACTCCTAAATAACGGATTAATTACTCAAGGTATGAAATTTGAATGAAGAATAAAATTTCAATTATGTTCTTGCATTGCGGCGTTTTGTACTAGAAATTCGGTTGTAGATTTCAAGTAATTAAACTGTTCTGCCATTTACTTCTAGCTTGCTACCAATAGACCCGGTAACTTACCGTGACAA